CCCAACGGATCAAGTATATAGAGCACGGATCCGATCTTATTTTGAGGAAGAAAGATATCCCTTACTTTGTTGAATGCTTTGGAAAAACTTTCAATGGCGTGGGGCGGCATGGGTCGCTATTTTTTTGGTCGGCGTCGAAAAGGGAGGTGTAGTGGAGGTGAGGGAAACAAATGAAGAAGTAGGAGGGAGGCTGGTATATATAAGCAAAATAGTGACGGACCCGAATTCGTCGTCTGTTTGGGAGGGGGGAATTTCCCCCATTCGGCGACGGACAAGTCGTCCATCTCTAATTAGAGATGGACTAGCCATCCGACGCCGATTAGCGATGGAGTGGATTTTCATTGCTAACGTTCGGGTGGAAATTATCCCCGAGAGCTAGTGACGGACTAAATTCGATCACTAATTTTATATTTAGCGATCAAATTTTCTTCGCTGATTTTGACGCTTTTTTCCCGCCTTATTTAGCAATGGATTTTGAACAATCACTAAGTATCCCTCGTTAATCGGTCATTACACCGTTGTAAAAAATATTATTTTGTAATCCATCGCTAAATAGCAATGAAAAACAATCCGTCGCTAAATTTCGTAGCCAATTCATTTTTTTTATAGTGAAGAAATCAAAGAATCGAGTTGAAAAAAACGAGTAAATTCAACATGAACAATAGGAAAAAAAAAATTGAAATGCCCCCACGGGCGAAGGACACTACCCAAAAATGAATAATAGATGAACAAAAACCTAGAATTTTTTCAAACAATGCAGCAACTATCCCTCACAAAATTCTTAGAATTCTACTCTTTTTCTTGATTTTTCACTCTCTCAACCTAATTTTCTTCCTCCATGCCTAGAAATCATTTCATAGAATCATTTCCCTTAACTCTTATATGTTCGTCACTATCTAAGAGGGGAGTTTGAACCATGATGACTCATTATGAAAGTGAACTTAGCCGCTACCATCCCTTATTCTTGGATCAAAACTTGACTCTAAATAGATATTAAATTGATGAAATGGAAAACAAATATATTGAGATTACCTGGTTGATATAGACACGGAAGAATGAGTTGATTATGATATTAATGCTCTATTCTTTCTTTGTTTGTAGATTGACGAAAAGAATAAAAAGAAAATTAGATTAAGTTGTGATGATCTTGAAATTGGATGTTATGAAGATGGAACACTCGAAGATTTGTGATGACTAAGGATTTAGAAAGGCTGGAATGGAGTGTGTTTGGGATATAGACCAATGAACAAAACAATGAACAAAGAAAATCGAAACCCGAAACTTAAAGATTGTAAAACCTAAAAACTTGAAGAACACCAAGAATAGAACAACAACTCGCCTAGAAAAATTTGAAGGAAACCCCAAAAAATGCAAATTAAACACAAGGAATTAATGAATTTGCATTGAATAAAAAATAAATTCAACACGAAATCTAGAAAAGCTAAGAAAAAAGAATTGAATGGCCCCACTGATGAGGAACTGCTACCAAGAAAATGAAAAACACAAGAACTAACTCAAAAAAATCCCGTAAACTACAACTACCAAGAATCCCCAAAATCCCTTGAAGTTTCTTCCTTTTTCTTGATTTTCACTCTCTCTTAACCCCGAATCTTTCCACCCTTTTTGTTGTCCCTCAAACATCCTATTTATAGCCTAAAACATATTGATTTCCTTTTCAATTTTTCCATATTTCCCTCCCCTATTTCTCTCTCTTTTCGTTATCAAATTTCTTCAATTATTGTAGTGTGGATAGTAGTTCAATCAACGGATCATATGTCTGGCGGGGAATCAACTCTAGGATGCAACAAACCTAGAATTGAAAACCATTCTTGGTTTTCAAATCTCTACAAAAATTCGAATGGAATAGTGAATTGTTCAATTCATCGTTTCATTCACCGGATTACTGAACAGATCCCCATGGTTTTTAAATTAAAATTGCATCCTTAATTTTCTTTCAATTAGGCTCCTAATTTTATCTTGATTTATTTTCAATTTAACCTTTATTAGCTTCCACTTCTAACTCAATTTAATACAATTAGGTCCCTACTAACTTCAAATTTTAGTTTATGTATTTCTCCCTTTTTTAAAATTGTTTTCTTTTGTCTCCCCCCTTTTAATTAAATTTTAATAATAATAGAAAATAAATTTTATATTAAACTAAATAATTAAATAAAAATAAAATATAACCCAAGATTTGGGTTATGTCAATAGTGAGTAATTCTAATAGAGAAAGTACCTAGATAATTTTCAATTACTTTGAGCTTGTGGATTTTAATTTGTAGGAATGGCCTCCATCCGAGAATTATGACCTCCTTTCGCAAAACCCTCATTTCGTCCTCAGTAATGGTTGGTTTTTCTAGGATTTTTGAAACCCAATCTATCAGTCTTGGACAATGAATCCATGGAGTTTAAAATATTCAAAGGGCTATGAAAATTTCCAGCGGAAACTAATTAAGCAGATGGATGACTAGAAGAAACATGCTTCTCATCGCTAGCTCCCTTAAAATTGAGAGGAAACTCCATTTGATCTGTTTTAACTGTGGAGGAGAACGGATTTTTGGTGATTAATCCTTGTAAGTCTTGTTGATATTTGAACGAACTTACACGATCATCATGCCCTATTAATCCATGATATAAGTAAAAGAGCGACAACCTCTCATCCTTGAAAGCAAACTAAAATTGTTTTCCCATTGAAACCAGCCACCCTCGTACGTACCTTCTTTTAGGGTTTTGTTGATATCAATCTCATCTGGATCTTAACAATACTCTCTTGATCACTCCGTACTTTTGCTTTTTATTTAATAAAACCCATTAGGTTCCATCTCTCTCTCTCTCTCTCTCTTTGTTTTTTTGTTTTAAAAAAAGAACATGTTCTATATTTGTTCCAAGTTTTCGCCCCATTTTCTTTGTGCGCCAATGAGAGGTCAAGCCTCAAAATTGAATCCAAAAATAAACTTTGTGAAAAACATCCAAATTAACTACTTCTACCCGAACCCATCGTTGCAAAATCAGTAAATCATTATTGAAAAGCCACAGAACGCCCTTAAAAACCTTCAGGAGATCACACTCTTAGCCAAGAAAAGAATTGAAGGAGTCCGTGTCCATAGTTTTTCATTTCAAAAACACTCTAGACGCCTCCAAACCATCTCCATAACTTCCTTAAGGACCAGTTTATTAACTGGTTTATCAGAGGACTTTGTCTATAAGGCAGAGTTGACAACTCTGACAAAACCAATATCCTCCCAAAAAAAGAAAAAAAAAAAGAAGAAAAAATATCATCTTTTTCTTCCAAGTTGTGATTGCTAGAAGAAAGTGATAAAGAAAGGCCAGTAGAGGCCATGACAGTTGTAAAGGAAAAGAAACAGATGTTAAGAACACCTTACCAAAGTGATGTAGAAGAAAAAGAAGAAGAGATAAAGAGAAAGAATTTGTCTATTGATTGAATAGATTCTAGTACAAATGAATAAATTAATCTCCTCTCCCTCTCCAACTGACTATTTCTGAAGAACTAATCTCACTCACTCAAATGAACTAAATGTAATTAACTTTTACTAACTAATTTGCCCCGTCACTAGTTAGTTAAGAATAGCCAAGTGTATTGTTTCTGTAAAACAAAATGACAGAATTACAATTCTTTAACATATCTTCCCTCTTTTAAAAGATATTTGTCCTCAAGTATCAAAGCTAAAATAAAGAAATTGCAATTCCAATTCTTCTGTGACTTCCCAAGTGCATCGATCTTCCGCAGCTAATGCAATTCATTGAATGAGTCCCATCACCACTGCTTTGTTGTATCCCTTGTTGTTGATGAGTTGAGTTGTACCAAAATATAGTGTTCTTAGAACTTAAGAAACTTATAAACAAAATGACTCTGTACCAAAATTTGTCGTTGCTTTCTAGCTTAATCAGCTGCCAGGAGTTTGGCGAAACCTATATTGTGAGGCACCATTATCAACTTATCACCAAACAACTTGTTAAATCATAGCAAATGCTATGACTAATATCTAATACACACACAAGTATACCATAATGGTTTCCATTTCGATATGCTACTCCTTTGATCTTAATTTTGTCAATTCAAATTAGACTGGTGCAAGCTATATATTTTGTCATGAAAGAACACTAGAGGGGGAAAAAAATAAAAAAAGACAATCACTTAGTTTCTTCTAATAAAATCCCTTGAATTTAAAATTTTCATTGGATAATATAACTAAGTGCTATTAAATTTTACTTAAAACAGAAGATAGGGGTGGTAATATCAATCACTTTAAAATGATTTATGTTATATTCTCTAACATTAATAACAAGAAGGTCATAGTAAATATAAAGCATAAAACCCATAGAAATATTATTCCCTAGGAGAGAACAAATGAAAGAGCATAAGCTGGTTACTTAGCCAATAACTTGAAACGTTGAACGCCTTGCTGCAAATGTTTCCCCATTCATGCCAATATTTATCCTTATAAACGTCATCAAGACTTAAGCCATGCAGCATGCTGTTATTTTTGCCAACATCATAAACAATAAGAATAAAATTGGCAAACATAAAAGCAGCCTAATTAGAAAAGGCTTAAAATGAAGCCTCTCTTGTATATTTCATTGAAATTGAACATGCATGGTCTTCCTGGTACCAATGCCAGGAAGACATGTAACGGGAATGACTAGTGTCATTTCATTTGAAAATCTAGCAAATTAAAGGCATGGATTAGTCACCAGTTTGCACTAATTTAAAACGAGTACAAAAATGGTACTTTCATGTATTAGAAAATCCAAGATCTCGTGTATGTGGACATATTCACAATTATTTACTATTAAAAAGGTCACTATTTGCTGCCAAGAATTTAGAGATGAAACATCAACTTTAGGGGCATGCCACATGGCTCCAAATATATGTATATAAGCAGCACGTCATGCATATGTTACATAATAGGTTATATTTTCTCTCTCCCTCTCTTAAAAATCTTGGACTTGTCTAGTTTGGTAGTCATGAAAAGTCTTCAATGGTTAGTGAGGCTACTAACCAGAAGAAAGATGTCAAGATTAGGTACCAAATGGTAAAAAAAAGGACTTATAATGTTAGTTTCCCTAACAAAAGACTTAAGTGGAAAACTTAATTAATAATGCCAATTGTCAATTTCAAAAGGTTAGACTTGTTTTGCTAGACTTTAAGCAGGTTTGCATGGGGCAGGAGTTCGGCATATAATTTATTAGTGATAGTGTCAAAGTTTATTTTTCCTCGAGCATCATTAGTGTCAAAAGTTTTATTATATTCAAAAGGCACTAAATTGAGCTGGTGACCTAAATGCTAAGACCAATTGTTTAATTATTTTTTTATTTTTTATTTTTTATTTTTTTATCTCTGAGGAGTAATATTTCAAAACATTCCACTTGCTGTTTTATAATGAAAAGATTTGATGACAAAGGGCTATATATATAATTAATACTTTGTGTAGTAGCATCTATAGAGAGTGAGTTTTATGACTCTTAATCAACCTATAAATCAGAGCCGTTGATTTGAAAAGTATTTCTTTAATGAAAAAAGATTTGTTATTAGTATAAGGGTGTTAGTTATTTGTTAGTAAAAAAATCTAGGATGTTCTTAATATTTAATTTAAGGGCTTGTATATATAGGAAAATGGGTGAATTTAGGTTAGGAGCCATTTTCAGCCAATAATGTTTAATTATTATATAAATGAAAGGAGCTGTAATATGTAATTGGGTTGTTAATTATATATATTAATTGTTACTGAAATGTGAATGGTTTTCAAGTTAATCTCCAATTAGATTTGGTCTCATGCTTTGCTAAATACAATTAATGAATAAAAAAAGGGAATACGTTTACTTCTTGCAATTTAATAAGATAAAATTTCTTCAAATAAATTATATTTTTCTTACAAGATTTGATGGCTATTGGTCGTATGCCATGTGGGCGTTACTGTAAAACCCTGCAAATTAAGTCATTTTATTAACTTCCAAACCAATAGAATTTCCTAAAAGTGGAGGATAATTACTTTTCTAACTCATTCGGAAGATTTTATCTTTTAGGTATTAATTTAGTTTATAGTTCATATGAGACAGTGGCCTTCCTTTTCTCCACTTTTTTAACAAAAGAGGTTCCCAATTATTTACTTTATTTGTAAACAAAAAGTTTTGATTGCATAGTTCGATCTTAATTACTAGAATAAAAAGAAATGGAACTATATTTTATTGGATTGGAAAGCTGAATTTCCTCTCATCCTAACAATTTAGATTATTAGTCAAATAAAAAGAAAAGCACCCTGTGTTCCTGCTTGTATTGTGATAAAGGCTGTCGTTAATTTAATCAAAGGAATGTAATTATAAAGAAAATGAAGAGGTCTGAAACAACTTGGGCACAGAACTTTTTTTCTTAATTTATATATGATGGAGTGCATGTATTAACTTAGAATCATTAACTAAATCCTATATATCTTTAGCCCATGATGCTTTTTTGTAGCAACCATGAATTAAAACAAAAAATTAAATAGAAAGAAAAAATTTTTAAATGCATGAAGAAGATTTTGCTAGGAAAATGAAAGAACAAGCCTTTTTTTTTTTTTTGGGCATAATAGACAAACAAACAATTCAAAGCGAATTCATGGTATTCATTTGCATTATTTAGAAAAATTTCCCCTCACAACTCCCCCATATATATATATATATATATATCCCGTGTATAAAATTCCTTATCAGTATATCAATTGATAGGCTTTGAATATTTATAATCCTTTTTTTTTTTTTTAAAGAATGTAACATTTATGATTCTTTTAAGTATTAGATTGTTAAATTAACAAAAAATCTCTCATTTAAGGCATTTATCCTTTCTCCCTTTGTTTAGTTTAGTTTAGCTTTGTTTTTTGCTTTTTGTTTTTTTTTTTCTGGTATTTTATTAACACGATCAATGGGTTGGTTTCATTAAAAATGTACGTATAAAAAAATTTAGACTACTTCAAAAGTAATTATTAAAAACAAATATCTCATATCATTTTTCGAGGGAGAAAAAAAAATCAAAATTATCCACCAGGTCCATGCACCTCATTAATCATAGAGCAAGTCAATCTTACAGTATAATGGAATATGACAAAATTGGCAAAACAGGAAAAAAGAAAGAAAGAAAGAAAGATAAACATAATTGTTTGACTTTATATAATACCTAATGTCTTTCATCTATCCTAAGTTTTTAATTGTATCTTATTTGTTTTTAAATATATTTGAAATATTTAATCTATCCTTCAGGCCTAATTTTCCAATCAAATATTTTTTTTAACCAAAATGTATTTGATTGAAAAAAAAAATATATATATATAAAGACTTCAAAAATAGAATATCTAGATTATGTGAGTTTAAGTATTTTTGTTTTCTATATTTTTAATTTTTTTTTCATATTTTAACAAAGGATATTTCGATAAAAAAATGATGATAAAAAATTTGATAAAAAAAAGGATTGAATATTTAAAATTTTTTCAGAGAAGAGACAAAAAAGATGTAATTAAAATTCTAGGAATAGATGAAGGACATTATGTATCAAATAAACATAAATAAATATATTTTTATATATAAAAAAACTGACAAATATAGGATTACCGTGCTAGATATATTATATAATTAAATCACCTTGAATTGGCAAGAAATCCTCTGGTTGCTAAACTTACCAAAGGTGATTCGATAGAAGATATAATGTTTTTTTTTTTAAATCATGTGGCCCAACTTGGAAAGACAAGAAGTATGAGGATAAGGAATCCGCAGATATGGGTAGTGTATATGATATATAGTTGAAAAATGCTTATCTTTTAATAATAATTTTTTTCTTATAATAATGTTATTCTCAAACATACTTGATCTATAGAATTTACATACTAAAAAAATATGAACCATTAGATGAATATATTATATATCAAATAAATAGATTTCATTAATAATTCTTATAAATCCAATGGTCGATAATTTTTAATAAGTGAATTTTACAAAATAATTATATAAGAATAGCATTACTCATGTCAAGAAAAGAAAAAAGAAAAAGGAAAATCAAAACCAATCGATATGTGGTATATAGAAATGAAATAGTTGATGATGTCAATAAAATGGAAAATGATGCCATTTTGGCCAGATGGATGGGTAGGATTATATACCCATATGGTCAAGCATCCCAAATTGAATCATGTTCGCACCAGGAGTAAATTCTATTCCCAAAAAGGTAAAGTACAGCAGAGTGAGGTTACTGGAGCAGGATGGTATGCATTAATACAGAGCAACGAATAGTAAACTAAATGTTAGAATTATAGATATTTAGTAATCTTTTCAGATCTCCTCCTATTTATTGCCCCAGATAACATCCTATTTCATGGCATGAACCTTGTGGGCTCTAGGCTACCTCTCTCTATATATATATTTATGTCCTAAGATATTCCAGTATATAAAGAGAGCATAGGTGATGACGAGGAGTCTCCAATAAATTGAGTCTTGACATAGGTAACAAACTGAAGAGAGATATCGATCATGGGCAAAGGGAGAGCACCATGTTGTGATAAGAGCCGAGTGAAGAGAGGACCATGGAGTCCTGCAGAGGACTTGAGGCTTATAACTTTTATTCAGAAACACGGACATGAAAACTGGAGGGCTCTTCCTAAACAAGCTGGTCTGTTTCTTTCTCTCCTCCATCTTCTTAATCAAGCAAAACAATATTCTTCATGCATTTTTCAATATCATTCCCATTTTTTTTAGTCATACTCAGATCTAATCTTATGCGATCATTTCCTTTTTCTTACCAAACATATTGATTTGTCATGCATTCATCATTCCTTTTTGATTCATTAGCAGGGGGAGAGGAAAGGGCTATCAAACTTGCCTTAAGAGTTAAAAGGAGAAACTTTTCTTTGCACTAATTGTTTCTTTATGCAGATTTCGTTGCAGAATTCAAATCTTTTCAATGATTCTATTTTCCATATCACTCATTTACCCCTTGATTTTTTATTTATTTAAATTATTCACTATTTGTTTTTTTTTTCATTAACTTAATATTAATTCAACAGTTTTCTTTTCTCAAAAAAGGGCCTTTTTTTTTTTTAGGAGAGGGATCAACTGGATACGAGATGAGCCTATAGGTTCTTTGATTTCAATCCAACGTTTAAAGCAATATTTTTGTTTTGTCTTACTTTTTTGATTCCCATCTCTTTTACTTTATTTTTTTTCCGGGGTAGATGCATGTATGACCCACTTGCCCTTGGTAAGAAATATGTGGCATCTACCGGTTTATTATGCATGTGTTGACTAATGTTGTAATCAAACAATACAAGGAAGGCAACTTTGAAACGCTTATTCGAATCAAACGAGTTTGAATTTTTAGCACTGAGATCAAGGGAAATCATTTAGCATGCATATATATATATATATATATATATATATATATATAACATCATTTTCATTGCCAGCCAACAAATGATACATATATTATTATTTTATATTATGAATCCTTCCACCATTTAATTTCTCATTGCCACCTTCAATGAATTAGGTTATATGGAAGATCACCAACATTACAACTTTGATACCATCTTTAATAATATCATTCTAGATGCAGAAAATTACCTCTAGATTGCATCTATATGTTTTGACAAATTTCTAAAAAGAACTTGAAGGAAAGGTTCAAGAAAAGCCTGCAATCGAACCGTGTTTTCCAAGGCAAGTTTAAGATTCGGTGCGAATATTTCGGTTGAAGGAAAAAAATCCATAATTGAACTAGCGGCAGATAAAAGTTTGTTAACCATTAGGTTGACGTTAATGTACTGATATAGAGAGGCAAATTAACTTTTGCCTCTACTGATCTGCATCTAAATACCGACTTTGTTGTAGAGAGAGATTTGTTTGTTTCTGTAGCAATGGTAGCATGTAGTCATCATTAGCACGTATGGTAGTCTCATTACACTTTATATTTCATATCTTGCCAAGATGGATATTCCGAGTTTAGATTCAAGGCCAGGCAGCAATTGATGGTCACATCAAAATGCCATGCGGCCATTGGTTGCCAAAATTTCCCATTTTGTTGACGAAGATACTAGATAATCTTTTTAATTAATCCAATTCAGACTAGAGGATAACAGTTGGGAAATGGGAAATAAATAGTCAAGTCATGTAAAGAGACAAAAGTTGAATAGCTAGTAGCTAAAGGTTGAAACCTAAATTGCCAATCTAACACGCAGCTTAGACTTTGTTTCCTCTCACTATTTAATTTAAACACGTAGAAAAAAGTAGAGGGCCATAAGGAAAAAGTTCAACCTCAAAGTGGTTGAACAAGGGAAATTGAAGTCCTTATGGAGCCAAAAGTTGATAGTATTAAGTAATGTTGTTCTTAATTGTTTCTTAATCTTGTGGCTTTGTAGGGTTGTTGCGATGCGGGAAAAGTTGTCGATTGAGATGGATTAATTACCTAAGACCTGACGTTAAGCGTGGTAACTTCAGCAAAGAGGAAGAAGACACCATAATTATGCTACATCAAACTTTGGGAAACAAGTAAAATACTTCTCCACATGCGACTAAAGAAATCTTAACGCACGTATGTGCTTTATGTGTAATATATTAATTAGTAGTGCGTTTATAATAACAAATTACAATCCTGCAGGTGGTCAAAGATTGCGTCTCATTTGCCAGGAAGAACAGACAATGAGATTAAGAATGTGTGGAATACTAACTTAAAGAAAAAATTGGCAGTCAAAGATGATGAGGAACATCCTAAAGGAGATGAATCAAAGGAATCCTCATCAACCTCCTCGTCCTCCTCTTCGACCAGTACGATCGTGTCAAGTGGAAAAGGAACTTTGGAAATGGAACTTGATGAACAAAAGAATCAAGGGTCCTCCACGAAGAAGCCTCGTATCCTAGAGAATGTACAGGACTCAACACCAAGGGAAGTATCTAATCATCAGTTTTGGCCAACTAAGAAACCAAATGAATTATCAAGTTCCTCTATTTCTTCTAACAATTCCAACATCACAAACTCTAGTCAAGTTGATGTTTCCAAGCCAGAAGATGATCGAAAGGGTTCATTGTTGAACATTAGAGGACTTTATGATGTTCACAGTTCGTTAGAGGAGGTAAACAAACCGGAAGAAATCGGGGTTGAAATCCCATTGGAGTCGGATTATGATTTTTGGAACATGTTGGATAGCTTAAGTTCCTTTCAATCTGGTGGAATTCAATTGCAAAATGTTGAAGCTGGCCAGAGCTCAAAATTCGGAGATGCATATAATAATGGAGAAGTTGAAAATAAGAAGTGGCTGCGTTACTTAGAGAATGAGCTTGGTCTAGACGCAACCAAGGATGAAACCCATAATTTATCGAAGAATGTTGCTGAGACACTAGTCCCTGAGAATTTTCAGTATGAGATACCATTGAAGCCAGCTGAAGTCCATCCAGGGACTATTGGAAATTTTCATTTGTGGCCTTCTTTATGAAAGAAAGAAAAAAAAAAGAGAGAAAGAAAAAGGAAGAATATAATTAAATTAATCTAGGTCTTTAAAACCAGCAGTTATTAGAAATTAAGCATGTGAAACTATTGACTTCTCTTTCAATACACAATTAGTTGGTATTACTGACCAAAAGTCGATCAAGGCTTGTTTGGTATAATGGTAGCTTTTAACTGTAGACATTAGCTTGTCTGGTACTCACTGTACACAATTTGGTATCATCGAAATTGCTTGTTAATTATGGCTGTTATAACTATGATTGTAAAAAGTGTACTATGTAAAGTTCGAAATGCCTTTTTTTTTTTTTCTTTTTTCTTGTACTGATAAAATGTTTTTACGCCAATTAAATAGTACTCAAAAACTTTGGTGACTTCATCAAACTCATTTTTACTGGTTTATAGAAAATAATAATAATAATAAGTACTCCACAATACCTAAAAAATGAGATTGCCAAACTGGGCCATAAATCAGGTCATTATTGATGTAAGATGGAATGATAGAGACATTCGAATTTTTTTAACGTATTAGGGGGTAGGTAACATCTTTCACTTACCCACTATTAAAAATTTGTGACGTTAGATTCTTGCATGTCCCCACACATCGAAGAAACGGAGGATAATTTATAGATCTACCAATCATAAGAGTCCCATGTTTGACCTCAACGAGGAATTTGTTGATAAAAACAGAATGAAATTGAAAATATAATAACAGATATCCGTTGAAATTAATATTAAATAAAAATTTAATATTAAACATAAGGGAACATATTTTAAGAATGTGAAATAATTCTTAAGAACTTCAATGAATATATTTAATAGTTAAAATAATTTTTCAATACTTAAAAGATATTTTATTGATTTTATGATACATGAATAGTAGTTTTATATGAAATAATTAATTACAATGTGTTGTTTATGAATAAAAAATAATTTGTATACTTAGAATAATTGTTAGAGGGATATTGAATTATTTTATGTATTTGGATAAATTTTATTATGTGCTATGAATATTTTATTAGAATTGTGGTGTGTTGGAATAGTGCTTTTAAAGGTAAAGAATTTAATTAGGCACATTAAGAGTGTGAGGAATTTTTTTTAAGAGCATAGAATAATCATATGGGATGTGTGAGAATGCCTAAAAAATTTAAATTAATTTAATAAGTATAGGGAATATTTTAAATAGAAAATAGTGTAATTTTCACACTAAATAAATAAATTGGAGGCCCAAATGAGAGCAAAAAAATTATGAATATTTAAATCAAACTCTCTTAATGAATTTTTGAATTTATTATGGAAAGAAATTGGATTTTTGAAAAGTGTAGAATGGAATTTTAAAAGTAGGGACTAAATTATCTAAAATTAGGGACTTAATTGCATAAAATTAAAAGTCTAATAATCCAAATTAAATTATGTAGGAATGTTAAGGGTAAAACATTAGTCCTAAAAACAGAAAAGGGAGGATTAGAAGTGATTTTTTACATAAAAGTGGGATTTAGGAACGAATAGGTCTGTGGAAAAGTCTAGAAACTTAGAGGGCCAAAATTTATCGTTTTCCTTCCAAATTTGGCCAACCTAAAGAATTAATTAATTCTGACTCCAGTAAATTTTGTGGATGAAATTAAGCTAAATGGAAGGCTTAAAAAAAGAAAAAGAAGAACAAATGGCCAAAAATTTAGCCAAATAAAAAGAATTGATTGAAAATTGAATTAAGGCTCGAGATTTTTCCAAATTAAGGGTGAAGATAAGGTCAACAAGTCCACAAAATGTTCCTATAAATAAGGGTGCTGGAAAAATTAAAAAGGGAAGGAAAATTGAAAAACACAAAGGAAACTCTAGCAAAATTTTCACTCAAACATTACCCAAAATAATCCTAGCTAATTTTATACCCTCTAAATAAGTGGATTAAGCTTTAATTTTAAGTTGATAGCTGAATACCTTCAAGAAGAAAATTAAAAGAGCTAATTCAAATTTAGAGGAAAAAAAGGGAAGGAAGAGAATTCTCAAGCAACCTCCCTTTTCAAGGTTAATTTAAAGCTAAATCAAGTAAGTTAATCTCACCTACATCACAAGTATGCTTAATTTTAAGTCAATTTCATGTTTAATTGCTTGATTTAATTTAAAAACTCAATTAAGAAAAATTAGGGTTATGGTTCTTGATGAACCAAATTTAGGGGTTTTGAATTCTTTCATTTAATTGTTGTTTTGGCACTTGATTATGACTTATTTGAGCATGAATTAATGTTTAGGAATGAAAAATTACACTTTGATTAAAGAAAAATCCATTAATTTTTAGGAATTATACCCGACCTAAACTAAGCAAATTAAGGTTTGAGTTCAAAGTAATTTGATTCTAGTTTGATGGGTCATTCACACTTTAATAAGCATGTTTTGATGAGTAGAAATGGAAAATTTGCTAAAAATTGAAGAAAATAGGTTTTATGGGCTTAGGCCCAATTTCGACTCATTAAGGCCCAATACGGGTTTGGACCAGATTTCGGGTCCCATATTTTAATTAAATTAATTTTTATAGTTTTTACATATCCAGGCTACTTAGTGTTAAAATGATGGGACTAAACAAGGAGAAAATGTTAGGATTCTAAAAAGGTCAAGTTTAGGCCTAAATGGAAATTTCAAAGAATTAGGTTTAAACCAAGTTTTACCTTAAATTTGATGATTCAGAATCAAAACACAGTAAAGGGATGGTTTAGAATGAAAAGGGCTCATAAAAATTTAAAGAAAAATTAGGTTAGGAGAAATTGGGCCTTAGGCCCATTGAGGCCGAAACCGAAATTGAATCTCCTAAATCAATGAAATAATACCTAGTTAGGTCGAACATGAAATGATACTTAATTTGGTAAAGACCAAATATGAAAAGCTAAATAAGAACCTAAGGAAAAGAATTTAGGAAAGTAAAGTGAAAAGAAAGTTTAATAAACAAAGAAATGGAACAAAAATGTTCATCTCCCTTTATGTTATGGTTCTATTCTTTCAAATGCTATATGAATGCATTAGGTTATGAATAATGGTTATGCTTGAATGTGATTGATGATAAGAATTGAGTTATGATGATTGATGTGCCAATGATGGCGGTGTTGATTTATATTGGATTGATGTTATCTATGCTTTGTTATGTTGTCCAATTTTATATCAATCCTTATGACTTGGTTACATAACCATTCAAAGTAAGCATTTATGAATTCATATAGCATGCTGGTTCATTGCAATTGCATATGCATGCTTAGCTCATGAATAGTGTTTTTAATCATGGAAATATATGTTATGTCATGGTTATCCGATAGCAATCGGAATGATTTTAAAGGAAAAGATTTTCATGACTTTGAGGTTTTGAGGAAAGGACTTAATGGGTTTTCCATATAGTGATGGTAAAAATTCGAGTACGGGCAAGTGCGGCATGCACTTTTAGAGGCTCGGTAGGGCATGTTCGTAGACGGGTCCGGTTCGCTGGACATATAATATGAAAACCCCGAAGCACCTAAATGGGACATGTCCACAAACAAAAAAAGGATTTTTAGATTGTTTTATGTTTTATGACATGAGGAAAAAAGGAGACTTACTTTGCATGAAGCGGTGTTGCATACTTACATGTACATGAACATATATTACATGCATCCATTAACTTACCGAGTTATTGCTCACCTAGTTTCTTATGGTGTAGATAAGTTACTAACTATGACCCACTTCTTTGTAGAGCTAATCATCGAAGGAGGCACCCAACGTATATATCTTGGATAGGGGTTCGATATTCGGGTAGACCCATTGTATGCTTGTTTTTAATTTTATTACGAGTTATAGGTCTACATGTACTTGAGGTAGCTAGCCTATCCTATACAATAGTAAAGGCTATGAAACGAGTAAGCGATATGACTCGATAATGGTGTGAAAGAAAATAAATCAATATTGTAGTAATTGGCATAAAATTAGTCTTATATATAAATAACTAAGGTGTGTAATTGAACCGAGTAATAAGGAAATGATGCAATAGTAATAGTTGTGTAAATAAATAGTAACAAATAATTTAGTAAGTGAATTACATTAATGACTACCTAACAAGGTGAATGAATAAAGGTAAGAAGGTGAATGAATAAAGGTAAGTAATTTAAGGAAACTCGAAAAAAAAAATTTATAGCAATTTTTTAATAAAGAAATATGACTTAAGCACTATTACTAGATGTCAATCGCGTAAACATATTCAAATATGTTACAATAAGATCATAACGCCTTGTTAACCTACATTCATTGCACTTCGAATGTGATTAACGACGGTAGTATTCTCGACCCATTAGGTCTTAGGTCGGGGTTGTTAACTAAGGGATGTTTGTTTGTTTGTTTGTTTGCTGGTTTTTTTTTTTTTTTTAATTTATCTCCTTAAGTTCTCTTCAAATCAAGTTATTATATTTATATATTTTTGTTTTATGTTTTGCATAGAGCGGAAGGGTTTAGTTTCTCGATTGATTGATATATGTATTGTTTCAATTTTGTCCATAATATTAATGGAAGTAATTTAATTAATTTAATTATGTATTAATTTATATTATTTTATTTGATTTTAACATGAATTCAAATTACATAACAAATACATTAAAATAAAAACGAGCCTTGTCCTGCACAAGATCTTGAGTCACATAAGAATGGATACAAATATTATAACATATTTAGCGTCCATGCCTTATCTTTAAGATGTATTAAAAAGATTGATTTGGTGGGTTTAAAGTAGAGTTTGCTAAAAAAAATATAATTGTTATTTTTTTTTAGCATTTGCTAGTAAATTGAAATAGTTTAACAAAAAGAACTTAATTTCTTTAACCGAAATCTAACCGTTCAAATATGGATGACATGACATGATCTTAGTAGTCGAGAGTAATTCTTATTTCACTATAAATACTAATTAACCTCATATCCTTATGAAATAATTTTAATTTTTTTAATATTTAGCAAAACATCTAAACACTTTTTCCAAAAAAATTTACT